AAAAAAACTCCCCTCGATAGGAAGATTTAACAGATTTTCTCTGTTCTGGAGTCCTGGCCATCCTGGCCTGGAAGGCAATGGAGCTGCTGATTCTCTTGCAGAGGAGGGTGCTGCAAGCAGCTTCATCAATTCCAGAACCTGTAACTGGCATCGCTTTAGGCTTCGCCAAACTAAGATAGAACACCTGGATGGCCAGAAGATTTATGGATTTCTGGTAGAATCTTCCAGGGTTGGCTTGTAATCACCCTTCGAAGCTTGATACGAAACAGTTGTTGGACTACATTACGGATGAACTACGATGTCTGACAGGCCTTCTTACAGGTCATTTGAATCATCATATGCAGAGACTCAGACTCTTGGAAGAAAATGTGTGTCGCCTCTGTTTGGAAAATGATGGAACAGCAGAGCACATACTTTGTATGGTCAGATGGTAAGAGTACGACAGAGCCGTATTCTCACCATTACGTGTGATGAAGAGTAAATCGTCTATGACGACAGAGACGGTCAAGACAGTGGTTGGGTACCCATGAACCACCCAGGCACTTTCCAAAAGCGACAACCCACCAATGAAAAGGTCATGGTTACAGTATGGTGATCATCGGCTGGTCTGTAGCTGGGCCAAACAATCGCAGTAGAGTCCTATTGGGGAGAAATTTATGAAATATATCGAAAATTGCTAAAACTGATCAACATAAGAGGTCCAATCCTGTTCCACGAGAACACCGATCCGCACGTGTCACAAATCACCGCCTAAAAGTAAAACGAATTGAGTTCGAAGCTCCGCCTCACCCACCATACTTGCCAGACATTCCGCCAACCCACAACTATTTTTCAAGCACTTCGTTAACGTTCTCACTGGTAGAACCTTCGCCAATAAGGAACAGGCAGAAACGGCCTTCGAAGATTCCATCGAATCCCGATTTCATGATTTTTATGCTGACGAAGTTATTCGACTTGTGTTACGTTGGCAAAAGTACCGTAACTGACCTGAAGCCGCCCCTGACCAGCCGACCATGGAACAAACACATGACATCACTGCGAAAGAATGCAGTCGGGAATCGGCGGCAAAATTATAGTACCGAACCGATTATAGAATTCTCGAAAAGACCTTTACCGATATGAGCCCGTCTTCCCGACCCAAGAGGGCAGTTCAGAGAGTGAATATAGATTGGCTGAAGAAGAAATTCAAATAGTGGCGTTAGTTGCTAAGTGTTGTAATAAATAAATTAGTTTGTGATTATTGAAATATTGTTGGAAATTAATTTGTTTAATGCAGTTAATGCATTAAATTGCGACAGTACACTAATTCAAATGGCGCTCATTCCCATCAGACTGATAGAAACGAACGAATATTTGTAAACAACCTAACATCAGAACTGTTCGAAGGGTTCTTACGTTGTTGATTCGGGAATGCTTAAGAGTTACTTCCACTTAACTAGCGTGATATCGGAATATATAGAAATGTAGGATTTCATAGCGGGAGTCAATGTTTTTGGTTGGTTTCCGGATTTTGCTCTGGTCTTCTATGGTTGTAATCTCCAAACGTTCCAACTGCAACTGCAGCATTCATCTTAAATGGCGTGGTCGAAGTAATTTTCTTGACGAATCAACTGAAACGAAAGCTTTCATTTCTGCCGTTATATTGGTAATTTTCTGTAATGGCGGGTTCGAGCGCACTTCTCGCGCGATTTGTGTGACTTGGTTCGTTTATGCGCTTTTCAATGGTGTGTGACAGATCTTTGGTAGATATGCTCTCTCTTACTTTCTGTTAAAGTTCTCTTGGTGTTTGTGTATTTCTATCTTCTAAAAGGATCTTGTGTTCCCCTTCGGACAGTGTATGTTCAAGGACTCCAGACTCTCGGTCTGTTCCAATCAGACACTCCGCTCGGGTACCAATGCTTCTTTTCGTCTGACCAATATAGAATTCACCACAGTTACATGGAATCCTGTAAACTCTCAATGATTTGAGTGGATATCTGCTGTGTTTTGCTGATCTCAGATACTCCTATATGTATTTTCTTCGTCGGTTTGGAGACGATGTTAATTTTCTCATCTTTCAGAATTCTCCCGATTCGGTTGGTGACACCCACCTTATATGTATGGCAGATACACAGTGACTTCGGGTTGACATTCACTGGTGTTTGTCTTGATTTCCTTTGGACGAGTAGCACTGATTATGTCTTTTCAGTCATAGCCATTCGCTTGTAACACAATTGCTAGGTCCAAAGAAATGAACTTTGAATATTCAAGCCAGTCTCGAATATACTTACAGAGTAGGTTGAATGAACTGACGCCTATCAGAAAACAACTACTCCCCTGGCTAATACCACGAAGGGCGTTGGATTATATCCGACAGGCGTCAGTGCAGGAATCTTCATAGAAAATTTTTTGCATGTGCAATTGGCAATACAACTGAAAGAGTCGACCTTCAATTTTGGAACGGGCACACTTGCAGACCGGTTTCGGGCTCATTAGCCACTCATCATCATCATCATCGACTTAAGGTCAATAATATTCCGTAATTGAAAATCAGAAATCTTCCAGAGTATTTCATTCCTCTTCCTAAGTTAGAGCGAACAACAAAATGTCACTCCATCTAGTGGACGAGGTACTAACTAACTGCATATCCGAAATTTGCCCAATTCCTCTGATTAAGAATGAAAAACTTTCTTATTAGTCAGTGGGATATGCTTGAAGACTGGCAGTGGACAAATCTAAAGAAATGAACTTTGAACGTTCAAGCCAGTCTGGAATATATCTACACAGTAGATTGAATGGACTGACGCCCATCAGAAAACAAGTGTGCCCATTTCAAAATTGAAGGTCGAATCCTTCAGTTGTATTGCCAATTGCATATGCAGGAAATTTTCTGTGAATATTCCTGCATTGACGCATGTCGGATATAATCCAACGTCCTTCGTGGTATTAGTCAGGGGAGTAATTGTTTTCTGATAGGCGTTAGTCCATTCAACCTATTATGTAGGTATATTCGAGACTGGTTTGAACGTTTAAATTTTCATTTCTTTAGATTTGTTCACTGCCAGTAATCAAGGATAGCCCATTGACTAATGAGACAGTTTTTAAAGGACTAGTTTTTGAAATCCGTTAGTTCTGATTTTTTGCAGACTTGTTTGTGATGTTAGCCTAATGAATAATCCAATTTTATATTTCGTTTCAGTTTTTGACTGGCCGGCTGCCCATAAAGTGAGTGCCGTTTGAACTCAAAATCTACAGAATCTCTGATCCCAGTCCCAGTCTCTGTTTGCGTTTCATATGTAAAGAGACTTTAAGTGCAAGTCAAGTGCACCTAGTGAAGGGTAGAGGTGTAAAAACCCTTTTTGCGTCGAATATTTCCCTTATGAACATAGCAAATCAGCGTTTATTGAAGAGCGTAAATGAGATATATGTGTACCGTGCTTGTCAGACAAAATACCACAATTCGAAGTTGATCAAAGCAGCTGTTAGCAGTGGAAAACAGAATATTATGCCATCAAGGGCCACGAGATCAATCTCTAAGCAGTTCAATTTCAATTGTCTATGTGGAGACAAAATAACTGAAGAGTTAGTTCCTTGTGGTAGAGAAGAAGAAGAAACCAGAGAAACCGAACAATGTCATTACTACGGAAAAGTTGTTTCTCAGTGCAACAATCTGGAAAGCAGCTGAGAAAAGTGGTGATGAATGGGCTTTTAAAATAAAAGAGCGTATATTTGAGAACACAGATTTGGTTGCCCTTGAAGCCATATATCATCGGTTTTGCCAAACAAAGCTCTACCAGGCACCACCAACAGAAAAGTCGAGGGGAAATCGTCAGCACCCCAGTTGATAAGGTCATGGAGAAGATTTATTCATTTCTGGAAGAGAACGCTGAGGAGTGTCAGTTCTCTCTTGATTAACTCATGGACCAGATAGGAGGAGAACGACCTCAACTACGAACAGTCAAAACTCGCTTATTTGCAAAGTATGGGGAGAACATTCTGATTGTTGAGAGACACTTCAAACACACGACTGTTCAAGAACGCAGGTCACATAATTCTCACCAGTACATGGTATGACAGTAGAAGCTCAGATCCTCAAGCAAAAAGACTACTCGTGGTGAAAGCAGCTGCTGACTTCATAGGAGAAGATACATGGTCGCAAGTGATTTATTATTACTATTACTCAATTTCCGGCAAATAAATTTAGTAACCTTTGTTGAACTTATTTTTTTTACTTCATTATTCGTAGCTTAATAAATAATAGACGAAATCAAAAATGAAATAGTTTTATTTCAAAACTGACTTTCATTTATAAAACATGTGTTTCATTACATAAATAAGAATTTATCAATTCTTCTACATTTATCTTCTTTCTTTTTGAGTTGTTTATTTCAGTGACTCCCTAGTTCATTCTCCACCCTTAAACATCATCGTTCACACTTCGATGGTATAATCAGGGTCAAAATTAAATTGATCAGAAATACAGAATTGCAAAAAAATGGGGAGTTAGAAAAAAATTAAAAACTTTGAAAGGCTTAATCTCGGAAACTATTGAGTCTACAGAGACAGTTCTAGTATCATATTGTAACAAATTTAGTCTACTTTAAAAACTTACGGAGCAAGTTTTTTGCAAAAACTAGTCCTTCAGAATTTTAATCGCCAAAATTTGAAAAAACCCAATTTTTTCGCGGCGTTCTCGATTTTTGACAGTTGCGTTCGGCGCTCGAGGTCACAAATTCGGATTATTCATTAGGCCAACATCATAAACAAGTCTGCAAAAATCTGAACTACCGGATTCGATGCATGTTGTGATGTATAAAGTTACCGGAGATTGAAGGTGACAGACAACTGCACGTGCAATCTCAACACTCGTACACCGATACCGACGAGCAGTGTATCTCCGCAAATGACTCCATTGTCTTTTCCCCACCGAATATATTTAATTATTCTTGTTAGCTCGTGAGCTACAGGCGGTATCGTCTTGAGCTATTTTCTCGTGGCATGTAGGTATGGAGGAACTGTCAGAGAATAGGCAGTGACGGTTACAGAGCCGTGCACAAAGCACGTGTTGCCCGCATCGTAAACGGAAATCCATCTAGTGTGCCAAATGAAACAATTAGACGTCGGCTTTGCGAGTTTTTTGTAGTCTAGTGAAAAGTGGAAGCCGAAATTCGAGTTGTGAAAGCGTGATATGCAGTTGAGTGTTTTTGGTGTATTCATGCTCTGAGGATGAGGGTTTACAAAGGGGTTTTTCATTTGAATGTGGCGGAAAGTCTTTAAGCTGTTTGTGATGAGATTATTAAAAAGAATGAGATATTACAGTCTCTGGCGGAAAATACTTTGAATGGAATGGGTGTTATGTTACAAGCCTGTAAACTTAAATGCACTTTCAGAAAACTTCAGTGGGTTATTATTCGTTTTGAGGGCACATGGCGATTTTGAAAAACTTTTTGAGTGTACTTACGTATTTTGATGCATAAATTACGAATCCGAAAGAAAAAAGCGGTTCTCTCCCTTATTTACAAAGTTACGGCCCTGCAAAGTTCAGAAAAGGGCAACTTTTCAGCCTTCTTTTTCACAAGATAAACTATTTTAAAACAAAAGTATTCATTCACTAGATCACCTTTACACCTTATTTCTTCTTCCTTGACAGTTTTCACTTCAACAATCAACATGTTTTCGATAAAAATCTTGAACAACGTACGGAGCTGCTTTTTGGTTATATATCTCTGTATTTTACGTTTTTAAGGTTAATGGCATAGTTGGTACGAATGATGCTGTCAATATTCCTGAAGTAATTCAAATGTTTTTTGCCTTCATTCTTTAGATCGTAGGTAAATTGGTTTTTATTGGTGTATAACGAATTTGAAATAGTAGGTGGCGGCAAATACCAACCGCTTTTTTCCGAAATGTCACTAGCAACTAACCTAGAAATAAAAGAATGTCACTAGAAGGAGCATTCGTTTTCAAATTAAGTTTTTAATGAGAAAAATGTTGATTGTTGAATTGAAAAGTGACAATTAAGAAGGAATAAGGTGGAAAGGTGACCTAGTGAATAAATGCTTGCGTTTTTAAATAGTTTATCTTGTGAAAAAGAAGGCTGAAAAGTTGCCATTTTCTGAAATTTGAAGGGCAGTAACTTTGTAAATAAAGGAGAGCACCGATTTTTTTCTCTCGGATTCGTAATCTACGCATCAAAACAGCTCACTCAAAAAGTTTTTCGAAATCGCCGGATGCCCACTAAACGAATATTTACCCTTCGGTAACCCTGAGTATTTTGTACAATTTTTTATGTCATAGTGTCACATCAGCTTGTGCAGAATGGACCATATTGGACACTTTCGAACAGAAACTCATGTTTTCAAAATAGATAGATGAATATTGATGACTGTGTTTCAGGATAAAATTTTATTTCACATATAGTCAGTGGGCATACTTGAAGACTGGCTATAAATCAAATTATCTAAGAACAATTCGTACAGGCCAGTCTCAACTCTCTACACAGTAGGTTAATGGACTGACACCTATCAGAAAACGACTACTCCCCAGGCTAATACCACGAAGGGCGTTGGATTATATCAGACAGGTGTTACTGCAAGTGCAAAGTAGTGTATATCATTAACATAAAGTCGATGATTTCCGATAATTGAAAATCGAATTCCGTCAGAGTATCATTCCTCGAACTAAGCTGAAGCATACAACAAACAACAGGTTTGTCGTCGCCCCATCTGCCTGTGAACGAGGTAACCAACTGTATCGCCAACAGCATATACAGGAATAACTTCTGTGAAGAATCCTGCACTGACACCTGCATGTCGGATATAATCCAATGCCTTTCGTGGTATTAGCCAGGGGAGTAATTGTTTTCTGATAGGTGTCAGTCCATTAACCTACTGTGTAGGGAGTTGAAATTGGCCTGCACGAATTGTTCTTAGATAATTTGATAAAATTTTATGACAAACTCAATAGTGAAAATCGCATATCGATATCTGTCATCGTTTCTGAGTTACAGCATGTTTTTAGAAAAGTTTCTGTAACTTTTTTCCTGTCAAATATTTCATATTTCGATGAAAACAGTTCCAAAGCTCTTTTTACATAGAATTAAATGGTGTAAAAACTAATTTTTTCAAAGAGATATCAATACCATTAGTCATTGGACCCCACTGGATGTATATCCGGCTAACCTCCAATCTTAATGGGTTAGCCAGTTCAAATTTCATTCCTCTCAGTCGTATGGGGGTGTGTGGGAACTGATGGTCCATAGCGATGATGTAGAATATCAATATACCTAGTTATTGATGGTTTTTTTTTTCAATAAGACACCCTGTATATTCCTGCTCATTTCAATAGAGCTTGAAATGTAGCACACTTGATGTGTTGCTAAAGTTATCTTTGAAATACAGAGCTTTTAGATTTTTTCATCGAAACGCACATTTTGATCAAGTAAGCTTTGGACGACGCGGCGATAAATCAGAAAGAAATTGTTCATTGGTAGCTATCAAATGTTGAGAAAGCTTTTCACAGTAGCAATTAAAACGGATAATATCGAATATATTATATTTACGAATAATAAATAATAATATAATAGACAAATGTGCAATGGTCCATCTCAAAAGAAGATGATGCGGGGACTACGGAGAGGATGTGCAGCTCGTAGATAAAAGCATACTACACCATTTGGATACCGGAAAGACGTATACTTACCTCGGGGTGGAACAACGCCACTCACAAGAGGTAAAAAAAGTGAAGAACTCTCTCCGCAGCAAGTATCAGTACAAACTTCGACAGATCTGGTCATCGGAGCTGTCGGGGAAAAACAAAGTTGCTTCAACAAATATGCGTCCCTTCAGAGCAGCTGCCCAAGCAGCTGATGAACTCGGTTTAGTTTTCGACATCGAACGAGATGACCACAACTCTGTCACTGAGTTGAAACCCGTTCAGCAAAAAGCTCATATGAAAGCCGCAGAGATCACCTCACTTCTGCGTGAACACAAGGATAAGCCAATGCATGGGGTCTTCTTCAATAACATGGAGACCTTGGCTTATCAAAGCGCCTGACTTTCGCTTTCCTCTGGTCGAGTGGGCTGAAGTCGGAAACTAAGGGGTTCATCATGGCTTGCCAGGATGGTATCTTCAACACCTCAGTCTACTGCAGTCGCGTGATGGATATAAAGGTTCCTGACACAAGGTGCAGGGCCTGCCGTGAGGCGCCTGACATCCCGATGCACTTGCTATCAGCTTGTCCAGTATATGCGGTCTCGACCTATATCCATCGACATAACGCGGCCCTGAGAGTACTATATTACTATCTAGAGCACTCTTACGGTATTGACGAGACACCAGTGTTGCCCTACGCTCCGAGGGATATTCAATCCGTTATGGGGAACAAGAAGTGCCGCATTTATTGGAACTATTCGTTCTCCAACCTGGGGCTTATATAAGCTAATAAGCCTGATGTAGCCCTTCTCGACCACCAGAGCACAACGATATTTGTCGTGGAGTTTTCAGCTCCTGGTGAAACGAATATTGTACGAAAAGAGGAGGAATCACGGCCTGTCGCACTAAGGCAGAAATCTTAGCCTGGCAGATGCAGAAGGCCATCATTCTTGACTCTCTGCGCTTGCACAGGGCACATGACTATCGGATCCAATGATCACTTACCCCACGGTGTGGGAAGTGGTCGTTGGTTGATAATGCTGGCGCGCCCCCAGAATGTATTGGGGCTCCGGAGGATAGGGAATGACCAGCGCATGCTTCGGTAACAAAAAAAAACAAACAATGAAATATATATTTAGAGAAGGTACTAAAATGCCTACCAGCTTCTTCTTCACACAGGCAACACCTATTCTACACGTTTTTTGAAAAATTAATTAGTTCAATAGCAGTGAGACAAGACTTTGTATCACTGCCGCTCCCAATTCGTAACTAGAATTAGCCAGCAATTCCAAAATAAGATCTTTCATTTCAATCTTCTCCAGAGGTGAAAGTGCATAGGCCGGTGACCTGGCCTGCCAGCGGTGGGGTCCTTGATTGGCTATCCAATTATTACCAAAAGTTGCAGCCAAAAATTTACGTCAATTGCAGTATTGTGAGACGAAGCCCCGTGATGTTGAGAATATATTTTTCTGAGCTCCATTAGTGGCAATTTATCAGCAAAGGATTCAATATTTTGCCTTCAAGTTTATAAATACCTCTGAGATACCATTATAATTCTACCCCTGCAAACACCTGTCCACACATTGGATCCAAATGTTTCTTGACTTATTGAAAAATCACTCACTTAGATACAACTTTCCAGAAACCACTAGCAAAAAGCCATGCGATGTTCAAAATCTCCTGGTGTGAGTTGATGAACTCTTCTGGTCCTGTATGGCTTGAATTTGTATTTTTTTCAAACTACTGCTAACTTTATAGTTCTTGGTAGGTCTGTTGCTATTTTTATATTTCGTGTTGACGTTTCGGGATTATTTTCAACAGATCCTGAAACGACAATTTCTTGATTCACATAACTTTGGCCTCTTGTTGGGTTGTACCGCAATCCTGCGAAAATGTCACTAAAAGGTTGTCTTCTCTCTGGATACCTCCTTGATACAAATTGCTTGCTGCTTCTGCTTTTTCCCCGGTTTGTATAAAACAGACTACATTTCCCATTTTTCATATTTTTCATACTTCACTGCCAATATGTTTGAAATTTGAACAAAAACCATTAACAGAAAAGTGTGTTTACTGCTTAAATCAAAATTTGACAGCTACTAGTAAAGATCTGCATACTGTTTTAGTGCCGCATCGTCCAAAGCCTACTTAATCTAAGTGTTCCTTTCAAATTCTGCATGAAAAAATCTGAAAGCTCTACTCTAGCATATCATATAGTGTGCTACATTTTCGGAAAGGCAATTTAAAGCACTATTGAAAAATGCAGGAATATGCAAGGTGTCTCATTGAAAAAATTAGTTTTCCATCATCAACTTTTGATATCACATTTGAAAAAATGAGTTTTTGACACTATTGCATAGTACGTAGAAAGTGCATCGAAAATAAAGTTTTCATAGAAACAGGAAATTTTCGACAGGAAAAAAGTAACTTTCAGAAACGATGGTGAATATCGATAGGCGGTTCCAACCATTGAGTTTGGCATATATTTTTTCTCTCAGACACAGTAATCAGTTTTCATTTGTCTAGTTTGAAAACTAGAGTTTCTTTTCGAAAAGGAAGTACACCTGAAGGCGTACTTCAAAAGATATAAAGGTCAGAAGTATTGTCCTCTGGAAATTTTCAGGCGTACTTCAGAATGTATAAAGGGTGGAAATTTCGTGTTCTGGAAAGTTTCAGGCATACTTCAGAAAATATAAAGGTCAAAAGTTTCGTCCTCTGGAAAGTTCCAGGCGTACTACTTCAAAAGGTATGAAGGGTGGAAATTTCGTCCTCTGGAAAGTTCCGGGCATACTTCAGAAAATATAAAGGTCAGAAGTTTCGTCCTCTGGAAAGTTCCAGGCGTACTACAAACAAAATAAAGGTCAGAGGTTTCGTCCTCTAGAAAGTTTCAAGCGTACTTCAAAAGCTATAAGGGTCAGAAGTTTCGTCTTCTGGAAAGATTCAGGCGTATTTCAAAAAACATAAAGGTCAGAAGTTTCGTCCTCTAGATAGTTCCAGGCGCACTATAAAAGGTATAAAGGTCAGAGCTGGGAAGTTTCAGGCGTGCTTCAAAAGCTATAAAGGTCAGAAGTTTCGTCCTCTGGAAAGTTTCAGGTGTACTTCAAGAGAAATAAAAGTCAGAAGTTTCGTCCTCTGTGAAGATTCAGGCGTTCTTCAGACATGAAGGTCGGAAGTTTCGTCCTCTGGAAAGTTCCAGGCGAACTACAGAAATAAAAGTCAGAAGTTTCGTCCTCTGTGAAGATTCAGGCGTTCTTCAAAAGACATGAAGGTCGGAAGTTTCGTCCTCTGGAAAGTTCCAGGCGAACTACAAAAGATGGAAAGATCAGAGGTTTCGTCCTCTGGAAAGTTTCAGGCGAGCCTCGAAAGGTATGAAGGGTGGAAATTTCGTCCTCTGGAAAGTTTCAGGTATACTTCCGAAAATATAAAGGTCAGAAGTTTCGTCCTCTGGAAAGTTCCAGGCGTACTACAAACAAAATGAAAGTCAGAGGTTTCGTCCTCTGGAAATTTTCAGGCGTACTTCAAAAGGTATGAAGGGTGGAAATTTCGTTCTCGGGAAAGTTTCAGGCATACTTCAGAAAATATAAAGGTCAGAAGTTTCGTTCTCTGGAAAGTTCCAGGCGTACTACAAACAAAATAAAGGTCAGAGGTTTCGTCCTCTAGAAAGTTTCAAGCGTACTTCAAAAGCTATAGAGGTCAGAAGTTTCGTCCTCTGGAAAGTTTCAGGTGTACTTCAAGAGAAATAAAAGTCAGAAGTTTCGTCCTCTGTGAAGATTCAGGCGTTCTTCAAAAGACATGAAGGTCGGAAGTTTCGTCCTCTGGAAAGTTCCAGGTGAACTACAAAAGATGGAAAGATCAGAGGTTTCGTCCTCTGGAAAGTTTCAAGCGTGCCTCAAAAGTTATGGAGGTCAGAAGTTTCGTCCTCTGGAAAGTTTCAGGTGTACTTCAAAAGAAATAAAAGTCAGAAGTTTCGTCTTCTGGAAAGTTTCAGAGTATTCAATGAGATTTCTGAAGAATTCCGAAACAAAACATGACATCCCGCAACATTTCAGAACACTTTTGGAATAGTCTGGATTGACTTGAATATCTCAAATAATTGTGAAACGGTCAAGGGAAAAACATATTTCAACAGACAGATATGTATACTATCTTTGTTTTTTGAGAATATCTGTTTGGAGTAACGAAAATCAGTCTAATTTTTGCCACAGTTTCAACAAAAGTCTGAGTTTGATGTGCAATGGGGGTAGCAATACATCTTCACCCTTTATTGAATAGAAAATACAGAACAAAACAAGGTAGCACAAAAATTTACTCGTTGAGTAATAATTCAAAAGAGTTTTCTGAAAATTTCAATTGCCCTTGTCAACCGTTCCGTATTGAATGAAATAAAACCAGACTTGTCTGCCAAATTTGAAGAGAGAATACAAATGAAATTCATTTAATATTGGCAGCTAATTGTTTATCCTCGACGTTTTACTGGAAATGAAAAATTATTACATAACAAAATGTGGAGCTAACCAGCATTTAAAATTTTCATTCACCGTCGTTTCAAACGCTTGACAAAGCCGGTGGAGCTCAGTGAAGTATTATACGAATATCATCAAAATTCGCAAAAATGTATTACATTCACGATTACCATTCCGAAAATGCCAATCAATTCAATCTCTAATGGATATAAATTGTCGAGCGAATACATCGAATGCTTTTAGTCTAAATTATTTGGTATAAACTCAAAGGACCTTTTCGATTGAATGTAAATATTGATTTTCTAATTGTTCATTGAATATTGACTGAAATTATTTCAAATAACGGTTTAAAATATTGCGTTCGATTAACGGTTCAGTAAAGGCTGTATGAAAGTCGCGATTATATGTGAGGGGACCAAAAAATGAGCTGAATTAACAAACGTATTTATTCGGTCATAAAATACATGAAAAAGCTAAACTTTCTCAGTTATTTCATCATCACATGTGAAAATTATCTCAAGGATACGACTGTTTACGAAGTTTTCAAAACGACACCCTCTACTACTAAGCAATAGTTAATGTTAAGTAAATTAGCATTCAGTCAAAATACGATAAACTGAGGGTGGCGGGACTTTGCCATTCTCATTCATCCCGCTCATGATTACAATAATTTTTTCATGGGCTAGCATCAATAGAATAGCGTTTAATCTCCAATAAATGCCTCTCACCCCCAGAGCATTGTTTCCCCCAATAACAAACGGCGTTTAAGCGATGTGTGGCCTCATAAAGGGGAACTTCAGTCTATATTCCAGGCCGGTAATATTTACACATATCTGTAATGGAGCTTCGAGAACTCCACCGGTTCTGATGATAATAAGTTACATTTTGGACTGGGTGTTACTTATATTAAACTGGAGTGCCAACAAAATTTCATTACGGAGTGTATGAGAACGTGTTTGAACAGTTTGAATATGAGTTCGGTGCAAAGTAAAGTGCCTTTTAGTTTGCTGAAACTTTTTCAAGTGTGGATTATAATGCTCGGATGCAGTCCCATTATGTCAGGTTTGTTACTTTTTATTTCAATTGTTTCAACAATGATTTTCAAGAGATGATAATTATTACCCTGACAAATTATTTTACATTCATTCAGAGCAATGTTATACTGAAACTTTTGTTTCATACAGAAAAAAATCATCTGAAGAGTGCTTCAGATTTTATCGAAACAAAATTAATCCTATACGCAGGTTTCTGGTGAGTTCTGGTTCTGATATTGTGAGATCGTTCGTAATTGCACTACTGAATATTGAATATGAGAGTAAGTTGAGCCTATACCCAAGAAAAGTGTCACATTTATACAAATGTTAACGTAATTACAATTATTACTCGATAATCTACTATACTGCTGAAAATGACCTAAATAAAAAAAATATAAAGAAATCAACACTTTTTCATTTATTTATTTTCATTTATTTATTTGTAATACAGTACTCTATAGGACATAGCCCAATTACAAAGCAGGAAATAACAGAGTATAATAAATACATCACAAACAAGTGACTGTAAAGTCTACAAACACTACAAACAATACAAACAAGTGACTATAAAGACTACATATTTTATATTTATTATAGGTGACAAAACAATTATTTTAGGAACTGGGATATTTTATTTGACAATTTGCAACTGAATATATCTAAATTATCGCTAACAGGATTTGTCACTTTACACATGGTATGGATCGGAGAATTCTCCAGAACGTTTGTGCGAGATGTTTTTATATAGAAAGTATTCTGGAACAGATTCTAGGAATGCAAATACTAAACTTTTCCAGTAATGTTGGGCAGTCAACTATGCTTTTGATAATTTTATAGGTTAGTGCAACAATATAATATTCACGCCTTTTTTTCGAGACTGCAAAAGTTATGCTTTTGTAGCAATTCAGAGTGGGTTGTTCCTATTGGAGGATAAATGCCATCGGTTTTTAGGCTTAGCAGTTTTAAAAATCGTCGTTGAATTGCTTCTATTCTGTCAATGTGATATTGATGGAAGGGGTTCCCTACAGCTGACGCGTATTCTGACTTTGATCTTATGAAAGCATAGAATGAAGTTTTTGAGGTCGAAGTTTCTTTGAAATCACTACTGATACATGCAATTAATCCGTACAAACGACAGGAGGAGATTACAACATTATCAATATGCCTATTAAATGATAGTGCAGAGTCAAATTTGACGCCAAGATCAGTAAATGTTACTGGTCTCACCAGGGAAACGTTTTCTATTGAATAATCAAAGATCAAGATATTCGTTTTCAAACTGTAGGACATGAACTTACATTTATCTGGGTTCAGTGACAAGTTATCTATGTTCTCAACGAGGCAGTATAGTTATTATAGTAATGGATACGCATTGTGAATACCTAATCATCCTGAAATTTCTCGGGTTATAGACAGTTGTAAATATTTGTATTTGGCATATGCTCATTATCGTTGTGACCTTAGCTCTTAGTTATTACTAATATTGGCCATCTTTCTAGACATACTTTATGGTTTTTATTCTCTTTCAAGTTTCCATAAACGCTCTCGTTGATTTTTTATGATCGAACTCATAGTCAATGACTACAATCTGTGACTACGATGATTAAATTTATTGAATGGTCAAACGAAAACAGAAAAGTTATTCATCAATTGAGAAATTAGATATTCAGGGTCACATACATTTAGGGATTTAATTTTTCTTCTCCTTTAAAATCTCTCAACTACCTAGAACAATATACAAAAATCATTTGAAAAATGTGAATGATCACAAACATTTATCACTCAGAGATAAATTATAAATATACTGACAGAAAATTATCATAAACAAGAATATTTGAATGTATTGAATGAACATTTTTTGTCCTATATAAAAAAGAGAATGCAAGGTGATACATCTACATGAAGAAGATACGATCAATATCGTATCTTCTTCATATTTTTGACAGCATTAAAACCTCACAATTCGTTTCTGAGAGAGTTCGAAGAGAAAATTCCGGTATTTCGTCTGTTTTTTTCCCTCTTTTTGGACGATAATCGTCTCACCAGGAGTTGGAAACTCCACGACAAATATCGTCTTGCTCTGATAGTCGAGAATGACTATATCAGGCTTATTAGCTTATATAAGCTTGAGAGAATGTAACGAGTAGTTATTATCATTTCTTCATTATTATTATTTCTTTGTATTTTAATCATGAGAGAATCATAGAAACGTTAATGATCTCTTTGATATACATGTATATAACTTCATTAACCGACTGTTATAAGAAAACAAGTATAGCTGGGGCACCAGTCAATCTAATAGTAGCACTGATGATCTTCAAAGCTGACTCAGCCTCTGACGGAAGCACCAAACTCTTACGAAGGTTCGAAACAGATCAACACTTTAATCTAGCAGACCACTATTATAATCTTAATGCAGTCATTATTCACTGTGGTTCTGGCGTTGAATATGGTCATTATTACGTCTTGGTCAAAGACGAAACGGGATGGTTTATGTTTGACAATAGTCGTGTCACTGAGTGTTCTGGCGATATATTGAATTTATTGGATCCTCTAGAGACACTCTAGAGAGCTGGGGCACCAGTCAATCAAATAATAGCACTGATGATCTTCAAAGATGACTCAGCCTCTGACGGAAGGACCAAACTCTTACGAAGGTTCGAAACAGATCAACACTTCAATCTAGCAGACCACTATTATAATCTTCATGCAGTCATTGTTCACTGTGGTTCTGGCGTTGAATATGGTCATTATTACGCCTTGGTCAAAGACGGAACGTGCTGGTTTAAGTTTGACGATAGTCGTATCACTAAGTGTTCTGGCGATGTATTGAATTCATTGGAGCCTCTAGAGACAACCTAATTTTTGTTTCATGAAAGAGCGGACATTGGCAGATCAAGATCTTCAGATGATGTGGTGGTGCAAATGCGCCACTTGAATCAATGAAATCGCCCGGAGCGCCAATTAATTTTTGTTGTTGTTTTGTAATTTCACGATTTGTATTTTGGAAGTGTTGTTATTATATTAACCGAATTTCACAAGCTGGAAAAAGTATTGATTATTCCAAGAGTGATTTGAGAAAACTTCTAGTCAGTGATAGCATTCACTAACTAGAGGTCATCTTACCAACACCAATGAGTGTTCTCAAATAGGTTGAATGAATGAAATTTTTGGCTTTCTACTTCTTGATACAAAATAAAATATGGGAATCTTCCAAAGAAAGGAAAGAAACAACCAATTCTGAAAAAGTATTACTATATCAAGATGTGTAAATCATGCAAAGAAGTAACTACCAGACACAAACTGTAAGAAAAAGGTCTCTCGAAACAGCTACTTTCATATATACAAAAAACACTTTTCTCTATTCGGTATGCATTTCAAATATTCGTTTTGGAATTGAATCAGATATCATTCACAGGATTCCTACACATTAGAGTCAATGAAGGAGGTAACATTTCACTCACATGGAACACTGTCATCTTCACTGGTAGACATCAGAAGTTTCGTCTCATCAGCTTTTTAGTACCAAATCTGGATAACATTATGGTAAAAAACACACAAGACTTTGATCTACTAATGTTGTCGTATATTTTGAAGATACGTTGATTTTTTGTGAAAAGAAATTATACAAAAACACTTTTCTGTATTCAGTTTGTATTTCAAATATTCTCGATGGAATTGAATCAGATATCATTCATAGATATCAATATACAGAATGAAATAGATGAAAATTCCCATATATGGAACACTATCAACCGATGTTTTGCCGTGGGATACTTGCCTTATCAGCTCGTCAGTACCAAATCTGGATAACATTATTTATAGGAAAAAACTATGAAGAAATATGAATCGTGCTACCCATGATGATCACTAAACAATGTTTACATTTTTCTTATTCTAGACGCGCTTCGCGTAGCATCATGGTAGTAATAGATTTGGTACTGAAGAGCTGATGAAGCAAGTGTCTTACGGCGAAACATAGAAGGTCTACTAGTGAGGATGACCGTATTTCATGTAAGTGATATTTCACATTTTCCATTCACCATAATGTGTAGGAATCCTTTATATCAAGATTGAGAGTAGGAAGCCGAAACTTTTCTTTATCAAAAAATCAACCTTCTCTTAATTATATCCCTTTCAATTCAAATGAAAATATTATTGTGTTATTATCATTTTAAATATTATTGAAAATTATGTAATTGAAGTACAATATTTTACAGAAATGAGTGAACGTTACTCAAAACATTTCTGATTTTTCTCAATAACGTTGGTGAAAACATATTGAGACACTATTACATCCAATAGATGACTGAATTTCCGGTGAAACTCTTTAGGAGTCACTCCAAAAAAAGTCAAACCTGTCAACGCCTTACAACACAACGCTGAATCCCATCCCAGGGCATTTGTATTGTCCTACACAGTCTACCCAGAGCATTCATAGACTGTAACTGTAACACTCGAGGGAAAAACTAATTTAATGACGAAACTTCCAGCCAATTGTGACGTTTCCTTCCCGAACCTTGGCGCGTTGAAATGTTTTTTCATCTCGTTAAGTTTCCCATCTGTCAGTGTTGTAAACTAATGACGCTAATTTTCAACACATTAATTTAAAATGGCACTTTTTTGCTCCGGAGATTTATACGGCAATATGCTGGCTCTAATAAAAATATCTAGAAACCAGAGTCTATTGTGTATTTTTCATTCATGAGCTGTCGCAACATCCCAGGAAAAAAGATTGAAAATTTAGGCAAGGCGGAAATCTTGTCATCATGTCTTTCATTCTGGATTGTCTGATAGATTGGAGAATTGACGTCGATATTCCTATGAACCGATAGTTCCGATCTTTTCTCATCTTCCTTGAACAAAAAAAACATATATAGGTACAATGAATTGCCACCAATCATTATATTAAAACAAGAATCCTCAAGAATGGGTCAAAGGTAAAATTTACATTCACGTATTACAAAAAGTCGCACCCCTCCACTTTCATTCATTCATATCATGCCATACAAATTACTTGGTTTAAGG